AAAGGGGCACTTGATGTCCTTGCATGAGGTCCCCCTTGAGGGGTTATTAAATATATCTTGCTAGCAGTAGATATATGCAAACAGTGTAAAAAAAAAAACCCCGCTTTGGAAAGGGTTAATACTTACCTGTGTCTTCCCTGCACGCAGCCGTCCGAAAATGTGAACATTCTCGGGCAGCCGCAAAGCATCTTGGGGCGGGCGCATGCGGAGTTCACATTTTCGGCTGGGACGCGTGGAGAGATGCAAGGTAAGTCTATGGACGCGTGCACTCGCATGCAGACACCGTGGGACAGAAAGTGCCAGCAAGCTCAGAGGAGTCAGCGCTGGATCGGAGACCCGCCGCACCGCTGGAGGGACAGATTAAAAGGACAGGAAAGAAGAAGATTGGATTAAGAAACATCATTTAAGGTAAGTGCTGACATTAACATTGGGAGGAGGGAAAAAGATTTTTGATTTTAAATCTAAAAACCTATGAGATGTTAGACAGGGGTGCCTCAAGATTTTGCATACTTTTAAAAAACATTGAGAAACATTGCCTCACTAACAAAAATGTATCTTATTATTTGTGTATCTCTCGGCTGTAGATCCTCCAATCATCTCCAAATTGGTGCTGACACTGTCTTTCCTTCTGGAGGAAGATGGTGGATGGAAAGTCTATGTATGACTGGGCAGCATAAATCCCTGTACTGTTTCCATAGGGGAATCCTCACACACTGGGCCGGGCCAGCAGACAGACATGTGGCACTCTGTATACATGATAACAGCTGCCAGTCTCCGCGGCGGTCATATTCTGTTGATAACATTCGTGAAGTGACCGCAGAACTTTCTAATATAAGATCCGCTTCTCATCTTCCTGGCAGCGCACACCGGCACCTGCCACTCCGCACACGGACACAGGCCGATCACATGACTCACCCCTTCTTCGCTCAGCCATTACATCATTAGGGGCGGCGCCAAAGCTGCCACTCAAACCAACGGGCGGCGCCTAATCCCCAACAGTAAACAAAGGGGAACCACCAGAGCGGGGCGGGGGAGAGGACGTTGTGCGCGATGACGTCAACGATCCGAATGTAAACAAGTCTGAAGGGTGTTAGAAGCAGCTCGAGCTTTCTGGATTTGGCAGAAGTGACGTCATACAGGGGGCGTGGACCATAGGCCTGGTCGTTGTTACAATGTAACCAGAGCCTTGATTGTTACTGTAACCGATACATTGTATTGGGATGTATAGAAGATGAGTTACATTTATTATTGCATGTGTTCTGCTGTCATGGCTGCCCGAGTACAGCTCATGTAAACACTGAAATCCTAGCAGATAATGATTGCTGCGTGATCAGGAGAACTCTTATTTAACAGCAGAGGGTAAGGCGGTTATTCTGGATGATGACCTAACACAGAAATCACCGAATCTGACAGGTCCGCCAACAGCTGAATAGAATAGACTCTTATCACCAGGACACAAAGTCATGGAACAGATCAGTCATGAAGGACACACCGAGGATTTCTCTGATTTATACATCATCTAAGTAAAATTGGGTCATAGGGTGACAACACCCCCAAATGTATACTGTCAGTGCACAGCTGTGTGTATTGCCCTCCACACGATGAAGGGAAAGTAGATAAGGAGGTGGAGGCTCTCATACATGACATATGATGACTGATAATAAGTAAGGGGGGGGGGGATCTCATACATGACATCTGATGACTGATAATATATGAGGATGGGGGCTCTCATATATGATATCTGATGACTGATAATATATGAGGATGGGGGCTCTCATATATGATATCTGATGACTGATAATATATGAGGATGGGGGCTCTCATATATGATATCTGATGACTGATAATATATGAGGATGGGGGCTCTCATATATGATATCTGATGACTGATAATATATGAGGATGGGGGCTCTCATATATGATATCTGATGACTGATAATATATGAGGATGGGGGCTCTCATATATGATATCTGATGACTGATAATATATGAGGATGGGGGCTCTCATATATGATATCTGATGACTGATAATATATGAGGATGGGGGCTCTCATATATGATATCTGATGACTGATAATATATGAGGATGGGGGCTCTCATATATGATATCTGATGACTGATAATATATGAGGATGGGGGCTCTCATATATGATATCTGATGACTGATAATATATGAGGATGGGGGCTCTCATATATGATATCTGATGACTGATAATATATGAGGATGGGGGCTCTCATATATGATATCTGATGACTGATAATATATGAGGATGGGGGCTCTCATATATGATATCTGATGACTGATAATATATGAGGATGGGGGCTCTCATATATGATATCTGATGACTGATAATATATGAGGATGGGGGCTCTCATATATGATATCTGATGACTGATAATATATGAGGATGGGGGCTCTCATATATGATATCTGATGACTGATAATATATGAGGATGGGGGCTCTCATATATGATATCTGATGACTGATAATATATGAGGATGGGGGCTCTCATATATGATATCTGATGACTGATAATATATGAGGATGGGGGCTCTCATATATGATATCTGATGACTGATAATATATGAGGATGGGGGCTCTCGTACATAACATTTGATCACTGATAATGAATAAAGGGGGGCTCTCATACATGACATCTAACCAGTGATAATATGTGAGGATGGGGGGCTCTCATCCATGACATCTGATGATTTCTAATATATAAGGATGGGGGGCTCTCATACATGACATCTGAGGACTGATAATATATGAGGATGGGGGCTCTCGTACATAACATTTGATCACTGATAATGAATAAAGGGGGGCTCTCATACATGACATCTGATGACTGATAATATATTAGGATGGGGGGCTCTCATACATGACATCTGA